GCATGGACTGCGGCACGGAGATCCTCTCCTCTCCGACTGACTCGGACCAGGGCCCTGCCGTGACGGGGGAGTTCCCGTGGCTGGTCTCCTTGCAGGACACGCAGGGCCGGCACTTGGCCTTTGGGAGCATCCTCAGCCAAGACTGGCTCCTCAGCACCGCCTCGGCCTTTCACAACATGTACGGGCTGCGTGGCTGGCTCTTGGGGGTTTCTCTAGCTCAGTGGTTCTCAACCTTTCTAACACCGTGACCCCTAAATATGGTTCCTCGTGTTGTGGTGACCCCCAACCGTAAAATTATTTTCGTTGCTCCTTTATAACTGTAATTTTGCTACTGTTACAAATCGTAATGTAAATATGTGACATGCAGGATGTGTTTTCATTGTTACAAATTTAACATAATTAAAGCATTCTGATTGTTGCAACTCAGGGTAGTTTCACCTTGCTCCCAAACACCACCACACCAGGACTGTAGATTTTGTAGTTTATTGAGAAAAAAGATCCAAAGGTAAAAACACGAAGCATAATCCTTTAGGCAATGATCAAACAAGATTGTAAAACAGTGAAACACAAGACCCAAAATCCCAGATTTCAGGAAGCCAAAAGCGTGCTGCTTAAAGCCAAGGTTAATCCATAGAACTTTGCATGGAAAGAGCCACATTGAACTGACAACTCCAGAAGGCTATATACCCTTTGCAATCATGAACACATTGCGATGACCCTTGGCCGACTTGGCTTCTCGCTTACCAGCTAAGCGAGAGCTCCTCCGGACTCTTAATTCTAAGCGTTCTTGCCTGCTCATTATTTCACTGTCTTCAAGGATCTCTTTATCTTGGTCCAGCTGGACTAGATCACCGTGGGGAGGCGAAGACAACTCCACCTGGCCGTTATCTCTCCCACTGACATTCTTTTCCCCTGAGAACTGACTTGATGTTTCTCCTGCTGCACTGTCTGAGGCAGGCACAACAGAAATCTGAATCCCATCATCCTCTTCATCAGAGCACTCTGGCTCACAAGACCCACAGGGTTCAGTATCAGAATCAAACTGAGTCACAACAGTGATTAATCAGGAAAAAATATTTGAGGGAGTATGGAAAACAGATGATGGGATTTGCAGTACCGTCAACCAATTTAGCTCTGACTTCCACATACCACTGAGACCTCCACACAGAACTCCCATGTCAAACGAAAAATACTGGAGGGGTTTGGGAGGAATTGACAGTGATTTAGGGGAGATGTAGTTCACCTACATCTGGAGAGCATTGTGAACCCAAACAACTATGGATCTGGACCAAACGTGGCACAAATACTCAATATGCCCAAATTTGAACACTGGTGGAGCTTGGGGGAAATAGACCCCGACATTTGGGAGTTGCAGTTGCTTGGATGCATAGTTCACCTGCCATCCAAGAGCATTCTGAACTTCACCAACAATTGAATTGAACTAAACTTGGCATACAAGACTCCCATGACCAACAGAAAATACTGGAGAAGTTTGGGGAAAATAGACCCTGACATTTGGGAGTTGCAGTTGTTTGGGAATATAGTTCCCCTATCATTAAAGGGCATTCTGAACTCCAACAATTATGGAATTGATCCAAACTTGGCATACAGAACTCCCATGACCAACATAAAATACTGGAGAAGTTTGGGGAAATTAAACATACCTTGACGACTGGGAGTTGCTGTTGCTTGGTGCATTCTGGAGTCTGGGCCCAGATCCGGCAGGGAGGAGGTGGGGCCAACCGAGGCACCTTCGTGACCACCAGAAAATGGTCCAGCGACCCCCCCTAGGGGCCGCGACCCCCAAGTTGAGAACCGTTGCTCTAGCTCCTACCGGCTGTTAGGAATTGTGGAAGTCCAAAACACCTGGAGGGAGGGCCAAAGTTGGCCTACCCAGGCCTGTCTTAAGTATTGCTGAAGTTCCCTCTTTCTCGTTCGCGTGTTTTGTTTGCTGCCAGAACGCAGGTGATGGTCCTTCTGGGTTCCGCGGACCCATCCGAGCTGCAGAGCCTCCCACTGCCCATCAGGACCATCATCCCACACGATGACTTTGATGAGCTCACGCTGGACCACGACCTGGCCCTCCTGCGGGTCCCTGTCCCAATTGAGTTCGACGAGGCCATCCGGCCCATCTGCATCCCTTTCCAACGCTTCCCACTTTCGGCGATGGAGGACTGCTGGGTTGTGGGTTGGCCGCACCCGGACGCAGGTGAGCCCGTTTGGGGGGTGACGGAGCCTTCCTAAGGAAAGAGTGGCACGTGCCCTGTTTGACGTCTCGTCCTCTTGGTCCAGACAGGGAGCAGCTCTCTGTGGAAGCTCTCGGTGGTGGACGCTGACCCCTGCCCTCTGCACCGGACGGTCAGCACAGAATGCTGTAGCCACCGGGAAGGCGACAGCGTGCCGGGATGCTTGGTGAGGAAGGCGCACTCCCAAAGGCATCTCTGGCTCCAAGGGAGGCACTCGGGCGCAGCGAATCTCTGAGCCACGCTCAGGCCAATGCCTTCCAAGGCTATGGACTCAAGGGGTTATTGCAAAGATAGGGGGAAAGGCATTATAATACGACGTGTGTTCCCCTGACCCCCTTCCTGTGGACTGAGAAAAATGCAACCTGGCCCAGTTCTGAGTCCTTCTCTCAATTGGTGCCACCAAGGGATACTGATAGTGCCCAGTTAAAAAATTATAGGCCTACTAGCCGTCCCCTGCCACGTGTTGCTGTGGCCCACATGGGGGTTCTGTGTGGGAGGTTTGGCCCAATTCTATCATTGGTGGGGTTCAGAATGCTCTGTGATTGTAGGCAACTACAAATGTCAAGATTCTATTTTCCCCAAACTCCACCAGTGTTCACATTTGGGCATATTGAGTCTTTGTGTAGAGTTTGGTCCAGATCCATCATTGTTTGAGTCCACAGTGATCTCTGGATATAGGTGAACTATAACTCCAAAACCAAAGGACACTGCTCACCAAACCCTTCCAGTATTTTCTGTTGGTCATGGGAGAATTTGTGCCAAGTTTGGTTCAATTCCATCGTTGGTGGGTTTCAGAATGTTCTTTGATCATAGGTGAACTATAAATCCCAGCAACTACAACTCCCAAATGACAAAATCCATTTTTTTAAGCGAAGGACATACATTAGGTTGTTAGGTGTCTTGTGTCCAAATTTGGTGTCAATTCGTCCAGTGGTTTTTGAGTTCTGTGAATCCCACAAACAAACATTACATTTTTATTTATATAGATATATCTTCTCAATGTAGATTACAAAATCGTTAACAGTATTTTAGCGACAAGACTAAAGGAACTATTATGTGATAGAATTGAAGAAAAACAAAGCGGGTTCCTGCCAAAACATCAAATAAGAGATAATATTGAATACAATCGAATATTACGAGAGGAACAACCAGAAGGAAGTGGCATTTTTATTTTCAGATGCCGAAAAGGCATTTGATAATGTTAACTGGGGCCTTATTCTAGCAACACTAAAAGAAATGGATGCAAGTTACGGTTTCATCAAAGCGATTCAGTCGATATATTCTCAACAATCCGCCAAAATTTTAATTAATGGACAGGCATCTTCCAGCCTTCAGATTAGCAAAGGAACAAGACAAGGGTGCCCCCTTTCCCCCTCATTGTTTATCTTAACCCATATAAATATTTTTATTTATATAGATTATATTAGTAATTATATTATAATGTGGCATGGGCTGGTTCATGAGGTCATGAAGAGTCGGAAGCAACTGAACGAATGAACAACGTATTTATTATAATTATATAACAACAACATTATTATTATTATTATTATTATTATTATTATTATTATTATTATTTAATACAAACTGGAAAAACTAGGAGAAAAACATTTTTTTTCTGGAGGTTTTTACCCCAATTTTTCCAGGTGTTTTTTTTCCAGGCCTTCTCATCTCTAGTCTAAATCCATTCAATGTAGGCCACTTCTAGACTGCCATATAAAATCCAGATTACCTGCTTTGAACTGGATTATACGGCAGTATTTGTTATTTATTCGTTCAGTCACTTCTGACTCTTCGTGACCTCATGGACCAGCCTATATGGCAGTATAGACTCATATAACCCAATTCAAAGCACATAATGTGGACTATCCACTTTGATAATCTGGATTATATGGCAGTGTAGAAGGGGCTGGACTAATGCTCTCCCTGCTTTGCTCCCTTGTCTTTCTTTCCAAAGGGCTTCCCCGGCAACCCGGTGGTGTGCCAAGCCAAGGAGACCGGTCAGTGGATGCTGAAAGGGGTGCTGACCGAGGGCGGAGCGCAGTGCTACGGGCCGTTCCTTTACACCAGGGTGGCCTACTACAGCGACTGGATCATGGCCACCACGTCCAAGTGGGGCCCCCCGGTTCATGCCATCCCTTTCCAGAGACACTTTGAAGCCTCGGAGGAGTTCCGGCAAGAGATGTTTGAGCTCCCGCTCGACGAGACGGCCGTGCGCACCTTCCAAGACTATCCCAACAACAACGACTACAATGACAACAACGAAACGGAGTGGCTCAATGCAAGCAATCGTGAGGGGCCCGTCGAGTCGCGCGCCAACTCCGGGCCCTTGTACTACGACTACTACGGAGGGGAAGTCATCCCCGTTGGCATGGCAGTGGCATTAACCCAGCCACTTTGGGGAATCTTCTCTGTTGGTTTCTTGCTCTGTGGCCTGACTTGGTGGACGGCAGGACAAGTGGCAAGCTAGCCTTCAAGGGGCAACTCCAACCTGGCTCTGTTGGCCTCTCTTACACCACACATTGCACCAGCCCTGACTCTACGGACACAACAACTCTCCATGTGGGGCAACAGAGATTATCCTGACAATAAAGGGATTATAAACAAGAGGGAAATAATTGTCAGAAATATTAAATATTAACTAGGTATTTTTAATTACAAAAAATGTGAATCAAGCACTGAAAGGGAAGTCAGTTCCCCGGGGAAAGGGATGTTCCTGCAGTGAGAGAGACTTTAGAAGAAAAATGTTTTGAGTGGATTGCTTTTCCACCAGTATTGGTGATTACATTTACTAGCAACTAAATATTTTGGTGTAGAAACTGGTAATATAGAGGAATTACCACTGCATTTTACCTCCAACTGCAACCTTCATTTAAGGTATGACAAACTTTTGGGATCCACTGGGCACACTGGAAACACGAAGAAGCTCTTGCAAGGTTTGTCAATAAATGAAATGACTAGAGAACACTAGACCTTTATAACCCGTCTAAAGCTGTTTTGTATTTATTAAGGAAACACATGATACCAAATGAGATTAGGAATGGTAAGTAAATGCAGAGTATTTATGAGCCCAGCAATGACACACTTTTAAATTGAGGTTAAGGAAGACTACACGTCTGTCTTAAGCGTCCATCTCTTTGGACCACACGGCCAGGTGGAGGATCCGTCCCAGCTGGACCCAGATAAGGGGCTGCATAGCCTTGCAGATAATGAATTAATGAGCAGGCCAGATCGTTTGCAATTAAGGCTTCGGATAAGCACTCACTTGGCCAGCAAGTGAGAAGCCAAAGGTGCCCAAGGGCAACACAATGCTTTCATGTTCATAAAGGGTATTTTTAGTCTTGTAGCTGACAGGCAGTTGTTGTCAGTCCAACATTGCTCTTCCCATGTTAACTTCTGGGGATCTTCCTTGGCTTTTCGCATCACGCTTCTGGCTTCCTGAGTCTGGGATTTGGGTCTTGTTTTCAACTGTTTTACCGTGGACTTTTGTTTGACCATTGCTAAAGGATTATGCTTCATGTTTTTGCCTTTGGATCTTGGGAACTTTGCTTTTACATTTAAGTCTCTGTTTTGCCTATGGAACTATTGCATTTCTATTTCTTTGTTTTGATTTTGCTTTATTTAATAAACTACAACAACCTACAGCCTTGGTGTGGTGGTGTCTGGAGCAAGGTGAAAACTACCCTGAGTTGCAACAGTGTGGCTGTAACTTAGTAGTTCTCAGTCTGTGGAAGGTCTCTGTGGGAGAAAGGCCTCAGTATGTTAGTAGGCCTCAGTGTGAATAGGCCTCAGTGTTAGTTCGCCTCAGTGGGAGAAAGGCCTCAGTCTGAGAGAGTCCTCAGTGTGAGAAGGCCTCCGTGGGAGGTAGGCCTCAGTGTGAGGTAAGCCTCAGTGTTAGTAGGCCTCAGTGGGAGGTAAGTCTCAATGTTAGTAGGCCTCGGTGTGAGTAGGCCTGGTGTGTGAGAACCTTCAGTGAAAGAAGGGCTAGGTTGAAGGCCATCGTGTGTTGTCATATGTTCCATAGTTGATGGTGGTTGGTGGTGAGAGACCTGGCAGTTGGTGATGGAAGGGTTAATGTAAGTCTTGGTTCTAAAGGCCTGAGTAGTTTGTAAGTAACAGTTTATAGGTAAAAGAAATTAGGGGTGGAGGTGTGAAGGAGATGGGTTGCAGCTGGGTGTTACTGGATTTAAGGAGCTAACTTTGACACTTATCTTTGGAAGAAAAGTATCTGTTGCATTTTGGTGGTGGATGCTGCTGGTTCCCCCCCCCCC